TATCACAGCCCTCACATATATCAAATGAGATTTGTGTGGCGCATATGTATTCGGTGCCCCTTTGTACCAATATCTATGTGTTAAAATCAATAAAATAAAAAACTAAGTTAGCTGCTTTGTATACAGTTATATTTTCCAATGTTCTTGTGGTGGTGAATCCCAGCAAAAGAATTAATACTTCAACCCTAAGTGTCTGTATATGAGTAAAGCAAAAAGTAACAAATTACAGTTATTATGAAATGAATGTTACTTGTAACCTGCTCTGTAAAATAACAATCACAAATGAGTTCACCTGATTAACAAATATTCCTCTACACATGGTAACATCAACTGCGTAATGAGAAATATTAAATCCAATAGTATTATTTAATAATGATTCAGGCCAAAAATTCAACGTACTATGGAAAGGCCTAAAAAGATATTATAACACTATTATAATCTGCAATCAAATGCCGTAGCCAATAAAGCAGAAAAACAGACAGTGGAGATAGTGTTTATATTTTAACAATCGCGGTAGTGTATATATGGCGTAGGTGTATACACTCTCTGTCTTCCCTTAAACCATGTCAGTCAGTCAGTAACAACATAAAACTTCGTACGTACGTACTTCAGTTCGAGTTGCCATACCACATTAGAACAGTGATGCAGCTTTCGATTCAAATCCCATAGTGGTAGATGTAGTAAGAGTATATGCAGTAATCGGAAACATTAGGGTTTGAAGACGTTATTCAAGGAGTATAATCCAGTAAAATAAATTTGGAAAGAGAAAAAAGAAAGGGACATGAATAATTCAGAAGATTATAATTTGGAAGAACACAAAGACTGGATGCACCTGCGCCATTGCAAAGGATTTTGAGTCATGTCATTCAAGGTCTCTAACCATTGGTTGCTATCGTCTCGTGGATCTCAACCAGGTAGTCTACACTTACAAACATGGCTCAGTCCACTTGTCAGTGGCTTCATGAATTAAAATCGCTTCATATCTTTCTTTCTACAGACTAATGCTTTCTTCCTTTATTATATCCTTATATGCAATCTTTCTTTTATATATTACCACCACTGAATTAACTACTTCTATGAATTCGGTGTTCATCTTATTGTGCTAGTGAGTTGTGGCAAGTTGAACCGATGCATATATGTGCCTGGTCCTACGTTGTAGCTGACTGACTGAGTGTATGTATATAGCTAAACAATTATATCCGTTTCTTTACCATTGATACAGAGAAAAAATGGCTTTTATTTTGTCGTCACAAAAATCACGGAATATACATACTCAAAAAAACGAGGAAAAATAGGGTAGGACCACAAAGGGGAGGGGGATACGTTTATTTGTCGCAAAAATGAAGAATATCTCTTGTAACTTAAAAGTGAAATGAAATGGCAGAGTTTGTTCGAACTCTTTCTTATAGCAACGTACTTAATTATGCCTGTTACTCCTCGTGAATGAACATAGGCCTCCCATTTCCGTTGCTATTTGACTGGTCTCCTACATTGTCCGTACGTTCCATGTACCTATAAGAATTGTTACTCTGGCTGTCAGAAGAGACATCAGCCTCGTGACTTCCGAAGGAACTCGGCTTTCACCATCGGAACTCTTCCTACTCCCAGGGCAGAGTTCAAATGGTTTGAATTATTTTGCCTGTTTAGCGTCCTTTTAGCGAGTTAGTTTTCTGCGGGATAAGGTCGCTAACCCCATGACCAACTCTCCTCCTTTATCCGGACTTAGGACCGGCAGTAACTCTAGAAAAGCTATAGGCAGAGTTCTTACAACAACTTACTGTCTATTTATATGTTGTCTTTCTATCACTTTCTTTCCCTACAGCATTTCCATATGGTGCAAAATCTTTTCAAATTTAATCGAATAGTAAAATCAAAATCTCAATGACACTATGACCTGGTAGTTTACGTACGTACGTACATGTTGTAATCTATTGTAAAGAAGATGGAGATTGAGCAGTTTGTCGTTGGGATGTGTGTGTGTGTGTGTATTTGCATGTACATTCATTTGTATTATTAACTGTTCCAATCAATATTAGTTTTTATTGGGCAATATTCTGTCACTTTTAGTCTTTTAGTATAATTTATTATGTGTATATCATTTTTTGCATAGTTCATTTGGTTACCTACTGTGTATTTCACATTTTTACAAATACTTTATTAATAATCAATATACAGAGTGTTTTGAGCAATTTTCCCCATTGGATTGAAGTAAGAAATATAAACTATTCACTTATGAAAAGATGGATAATGGTTAACAATGGAATCCAGGACGCGCGTTTTGTCTTATCTTTGCTTAAAAAGCTTGTAACTTAAGGTTATATCGATGCAATCCGCACAGGATGCACATATGTCAACATGAGACTGATTAATTACAGTCCTAAATAACAATGGGAAGATACAAGGAAAACAACACCAAGTGAACCCGATTGCACAAGCAGGTGGCTATCAGGACTCAGTAGCTAAGTAATCACAATTGGTTGATCACTGGGTGGTGATGAGTGTCATGTGTGTCAAGTCCTTCTTAATGCAGATCGAATGATATCTACCAAGTTGCAATGTGGCAACTAGTCTAAGTGACTCGATACTGTGTGCACTATGTTGAGATTAGATGGTGGTTGGAGGTAGTCGACAGGAAACCTGGATCCAGGGTAAAACAACAAGTGAATTTATTCACTTATGAGTTTATAAATTAGTTATTCTAAAGGTGTTTTGGTCATTGTGATAAATGAAAGCTGTTGGTTGAAGACTTATTGACGAGTCTGAGACTATAAAACGAAATAAACGTCATGTATTTCTTGATTCTTGGTAGATTACTTTCATCTGCTTATTGATACCTCCGTGGCATTGCTCGAACATATTGAGAACATTGAACGAGCAATGCTGGTATTAAACATCGGGTACTAGATTAACTATGCCGAATAGTTCGACTAGATATTTAATCTTCAACTAAGGTGGTTGTGACATGTATTAGATATACCCAATTACCCTATACATTGACACACGACGTTCGCTGGTGTAAGAATATGTTAGAAGAAAGTTAGAGGCAGTCAAATCAAAACGTGGCATCACTCCATAAAGTTATTGACTATTAATTTGATTAATGTATACCACTTGATTGGATTAAACGCGATTATTGTAATCAATGAATGACATACCTGAGTATCGGATGCAATAACGCAGATTTATTCACTCTGTTATCTATTAGATCTCAAGTTTCAAAATCACCTTAAACTTTTCATTTATTCATGTCCCATATCTAATGTCTTCCAATGTCTCTAATACTGTTGCTGCTTCGACAACTGTAGCATTTGTGTTGACAGTGTAGTATTTGATGTACTGATGATAAAGTGAATTAATTTAAAATGATCCATATATGTGCCAGATTCCACGTTTTAACTGATTGATGGTTGATGTTAATTAGTAACAGAAGCTGGTTTTATATAATTTCGATACTCTTATATTACGAACACATCTAGTTGTAAATACATTAACGTCTACTTATTCACTATTATCATCCCATTACAATATTTTCCTTACAACTTCTCTTGCCTAAAAGTAAGAAAGGTTCCAAACAATAAAAGAGGCATGGGTTGAAAATGTTAAATACACTTCCTGAATTATAATACTAATGAGCAGTTGATTTAGATTGCCCCCAAATGCCCTGGTATGGCCAAGAGTGGAGAGAGTCCGCTCTCCCTCTCGAAATCCTCTCATATGGCCACGCGTATACAGCCTCTGCCAGGAAAGTCCTACGCACTGCCTTCTCGTGGCATTAGTGTTGTTTACGAAAATGAGAGGACGAAAAGCGAATATCCAGCACTTTAACCGGATTCCAAACCAATGTTGCACATGGGCTCCAGCATCTTGAAGGAACAAATGGCGTATGAACCAATTGTTGATCACCGGCTACCTTGGGACTGCATCTCCTAACGTTGTTCCACTGCCTTGTGGGTCAGACCTTTAGGTCGAAGGCTCCGGGTATGGCCCCCTAGGAAAACCACCCGCTTCGGTTTGGGAAGCCTAGCAGTATACCAGCCCTCACACATATCAAATGAGATTTGTGTGGTACATATGTAACTGGTGCCCGCTTGTACCAGTATTTATATGTTCAAATAAATAAAATAATTAATTTTCAATTTTGGCCCCCGAATGCCCTGGTACGGCCCAGATTGGGGAGTTCGCTCTCCCTCTTAAAATGCTTTCACATAACGCCGTGTATATAGCCTCTGCTAAGGATGTCCTACTCACTGCCTTCTCGTGGCAGGGGTGTTGTTTACGAAATTGAGAGGACGAAAAGCGAATGTCTGGCACTTGAACCAAATGCTCAGACAGTATTACTCACTTGTTGGTTCTGCTATACATCCGTAGACCAATACAGTCTTAAGATAAGCAAACCGATTAGCATCGTACGTCGTGGTAATTGGTGTTCAGGCATACGTAACACGTGGCCCAATCATCTCAGTCGATAAAGATTCACAAACTTATCAAGTGATTTACCATCATACTCGTAAACTATTTGATTTATCTGTAATAACAAGAATGATTGTAATAACCTACTAGCAATATTGATAGTTTGCTATTAAGTATAAATGCAGTTGTATTTATTCGTTATCTTTCACCAAACTTTAAGCTTAGTGTTATTTTACTCTTCGATCTGACTCATTTGCCGTGAACTATACTTCTTAGGTTTAATCTTAATAACTATAATGGATAGTAGTATTTTTAATTTCCCCTCCATAGCTTTGCACCTCGTGTTAATTACCTATCTTGGTTACATTAATATGTTGTGTGGCAACTTTTAGGTTAATACAATTTCATACTAGGTCTTATGCTGTGAATTTCTGACGGTTATATTTATTAAGTGAGATCTTGGGAGACGTTAGATAACAACGTAAATCGAGGTTGGCGAAACAGTTTTTAAATCTATAACCTAAAAATTGAATTCTGAGCCCATTGAGATTGTAGTTCTTCAATATCATATGAAAAGAAAATAACCACATGCAGTCTGTTAACTTATTTTATCAGTATAAACACTAATTTACATGATAATGAATAATAATAATCATGAAGACATATACACAAATATTTAACAAATCAATTTATTGCTGGTTATTCATCGTAATCCTCGTTGTCGTCGGCTTCTTCCTCTTGTTCTTCGTCTGATTCATAATCTCCGGGTGTACGACCATCAGCACCATCATAATCGCTGTCATCGCTCTAGATGAAAAAAATGGAAAGGAAGATCTAGAAAGTTTCCAGGATGAGATATGATTTCCTAGAAAATTGAACTGAATCTTAAATCATAAGTTAGTATTCTCAAGTACTAGACACTGATATGTAGGTATAACTAATCCTATGACAAAGCCTAAAACCATAAATGCTATACTGTGATTTTGGCTTGTACGTAACCGCTCAGTGTAACGCATTTCACTAGTTAATTTCATTCCAACTAACTTCATTGGGAGAGGGGTTCATACATGAACTGACGAGTCTTAAACCTTGATCGTAAAACATGATACAGCATTTGACTTTTCAATATTTAAGAAAATTTAGTGAAACTTCCCAGTTGAAAAGAATGACAAAACATAATTGAATAACCAAGCCTAGTGGTTTGAACAAGTTTAATTACTCATCTTTGAAACATCCGATTGTGATCTCATGTACTCACAACAAAATTAGTAACTTTATACAGGCTGATATATATTTATTATAAATGACAAAAAAACAATACATTCTACGTTACGTATTCATATCAATATGCTTCGTAAACCTACTCAGAAATGAAATACTCTTGTCAAACAAATACTTATTCAATAGTTGAAATCATGAGTCAATTGAAGCTAGACCACCATGGAAAACCTGGACGGCACACTGCTGAGGAGTCCCATACTAGGACGAAACGGCGGTCCAGTGCTTCCAGGTTTTCCATGGTGGTCTAGCTTCAATTGACCCATGATTTCAACTATTGAAATTTCTAAATATCTCCATAAAACCCCTTCTGATAATAATCATCTGCTCACTAGTGGCTGACTTCAAGAGGCATTTCCTGGAGTTTTAGTGAGAAGCAGTGACCAGCGGAGTTCAACCAGGTCTGTTGTGAGATATCAACTCTCTGAAGACGATGGCGCAAGTTCGTGGACTGGTTGAAGTTAGACATTAACACCGTTGGATGGCTGCCAGCTCAGTGGTCTAATGGTTAAGCGCTCGCGCGCGAGAGACCGATAGGTCCTAGGTTCGAATCCCGCGTGGCGGGGTCGTAAATGCGTATCGCCGAGGAGTCCCATACTAGGACGAAATGGCGGTCCAGTGCTTCCATGTTTTCCATGGTGGTCTAGCTTCAATTGACTCATGATTTCAACTATTGAAATTTCTAAAAAATCTCCACAAAACCCCTTCAAATACCCATTCACCTTAATTAATAACTTGAATTAAAGCTGAGAGAACGTATAGTACGGAAGTGTATTAAGCACTACTGTCACAGCTGATAAAATTCCTTAACATTAAACTAGTAAACATTTTTATTCAGTAAATGCTAATATACTTCAATAACACAATCGATTCAGTCAGTCAGCAACAACGTAGAACTTCGTACATACGTACATCAGTTCGAGTTGCTATACCACATTAGTACACAGATACAATCGTCGATTCAAACCCCATAGTGGTAGCAGTAATTGGAAAGATTAGGGTTTGAAGATGTTATTCAAGAAGTATAATCCAGTAAAATAAATTCAGAGAGAAAGAAAGCGAGAACACAAAGAGTGGATGCACGTGCGCCATTGCATATGATTTTGAGCCATGCCATCCAAGGTCTCTAACCATTGGTTGCTATTATCTCGCGGATCCCAACCAGGTAGTCTACACCTATCAACGTGGCTCAGTCCACTTATCAGTGAATTCATGAATTTGTGCCATGTTTTGGTCTGGCCGTCCATAGCTTTCTTCCAACCTACTCCTACATCATAAAACATCGGTCATCGAGGCAGTCCATTAAATACATTTGGTATCAGTCGATAAATAACAACAAATAACCATCATAAGATCTATATTACAACTTTAGTCACCATCACTATATATGATAAATACTACACAATAGATCACACATGTAGACTAGTGATTAATTCTTCAGAAATGAGGACCAAAAAGAAAGTTACAGTATATATAAAGACATTATAAACTTTCAGTGTAACCTGGAAATCCGTAACAACGGGACTACTCATAAGTATCTCACAATGTAAGAGGGGTTACTCGGAGTTTTTACAGATACTTTCCAAGCCAAAATGCTACTCACATTCATATTACATTTAATAACAAATTAAAAGAAAAATTTCTAGTGAATTTACTTAGACACTTAGCAATCATGGCTGATTGGACAAGTAGATTATGAATGAAAGTTAGTAGAGATAGTTAGACTGAAAGTTGGTCTTTATCATATTCCAATAACGCAAATGAAATCTCGACAGCAGTTTAGAAAGCTCAGTTGACTTGTGACGACGTACATTACTTGCAGTATAGGCGAGATGTTCACTTGCCAACCAAAATGACGAATATACCGACAGTCAAATCACTCTGCTCTACTTTAGTTATGAAACAGCTTTTGAACATAAAGAACATTCGTAGGTTACTAGTATTTGAAAGTAAATACTCAAGAATTCCTCATGCATGATAGGATCATCAAGTGGTTAATGCCGAGGTTAGAAAGTATACTACGTACAGATGGTAAATATGTAGATAAAAGGTTAGTGGGTCTTCATCGACTGAAGTAGTTGGGACATGTATTACGCATACCCTTCCACGGTGTGGGCAGCCGGGAAGTGATATCAGCCCTCATACCCGTAACAGCACAAGAGAACAAGGTGGTCACATTCAAATCTTTCCTACACCTTCTAATACCTCTCTTATCTCCCCGACTAACCCTCCCCACGTCTCTTTATCACCTCGCACCGCTAGGGCAAACGATTCGAGTACGTGGAACGCCATTCCTGGTCTCCTGATACCACGCTCTAAACTACACGTAGGAGCTTTTAACGTACGAACACTTTGCCAAATAGGACAGCAGGCTTCCTTAGCTAGGACTTTAGAATCTCGCGCCATCGATGTGTGCTGCGTCTCCGAAACGCGCATACAGGATCCAAGTAGCGTCATTCATTTGACCTCACCATGCCAAAATAAAGAACCGACTCGATTTACGCTTCGTGTATCTGGGAGCCCTGATTCTGCTTCCCGTGGCCTCGCCGGCGTAGGTATAGCATTGAGTCCTAGGGCAGAACTAGCTCTCTTAGAGTGGATCCCAGTAGACAGTCGTTTGTGCGCTGTCCGACTGAACGGAACAGTAAGAATCCGGAAAGATAGGGACACTCGTCGTTGCCTCTTCGTCGTCTCTGCCTATTCTCCCACTGACTGCAGCTCAGATGATGTAAAAGATGAGTTTTACAGAAAGCTTTCGGACCTTCTCCGAAAAGCTAGGCGCTCGGATGTAGTATTAGTGGCCGGTGACTTTAATGCTCAAGTAGGTAAACTAAGCGATAGGGAAAGACACCTAGGTGGATCTTATGGTGTCGTGGCTCAAAGAACAGATAATGGCGACCGTCTGTTGCAGCTATGCTCAGATAACCGCCTGTTCCTTGCAAATACTAACTTTAAACATAAGGAAAAACATCTTTTAACATGGAGACCCCCTAATTCGTCCCAACGTTGGACCCAAATAGATCACATAGCTATCAGCCACCGATGGAGGGGCTCGATAGCAGACTGTCGCTCATTCTGGAGCACATGCCTCGATTCAGATCATGCTCTAGTGCGAGCGCGTATTTGCTTGCGTCTTACTGGACGTAGGAAAGACGCTGCAAGGAAACCTCTTAGGGGCCTACTTAATGATAGTCAAGCTAAGAGTATATTTCAGGAACAACTAGGAAAACAGTTAGGCAGCCATGTAAGTGATGCCCACCCCGATGCAGCATGGAATGATATCCGAAAAGCTGTGGAAACAGCAGTGATATTTGCTAGTAAGGTAAACCAGAAGGTTAGGGAGCAACATTGGATCTCAGCAGCATCTATCTCACTGATAGATGCTCGGAAACTCATTCCACCTGGCTCTGGACATAATGAAGAGCGGAGTCAGCTTAAGCGCAAGCTGACAAGAAGCCTACGCAATGATCGCGAACAGTGGTGAGTAGCGAAAGCAAGAGAGATGGAAAAGGCAGCGGCAATAGGTAATAGCAGACAATTGTTCAGACTCGTTAAGGAAACCGGAATTAGGAACCCGACCGTTAGCGAAACAATCTCAGAGAAAGATGGACATATTATTCATTCTCAATCCGGGAGATTGGATCGATGGGCAGAACACTTTAGGGATCAGTTCAACTGGCCTTCAGCCACACTTCGGTTTCCCACGATCTCTAATCAACCTGAATGGCAAGTTAATGTAGGTCCTCCGTCTCTTTACGCAGTTGAAAAAGCCATAGGAAATCTGAGACGAGGGAGAGCAGCAGGCCCTGACAGGTTTACTCCTGAGATTTTTAAGGATGGTGGTCCAGTATTAGCAATGAGATTAACCGAGGTCTTAGGTAGAATTTGGGAACTGGACGTAATCCCATCTGACTGGTCTCAATCACTGATTGTGCCAGTCTATAAGAAAGGACAAAAGTCCTCTTGTGACAATCACAGAGGAATCAGTTTGACTAATATAGTGTCTAAAGTATTAGCTTCAATAATACTTCGACGCCTAATCAAAGCTCGTGAAGAGCAGACTAGAGAAAACCAGGCTGGTTTTCGACCTGGACTTGGTTGTATAGATCAGATATTCACACTACGTCAGGTTCTAGAACACAGACACACATTCAGACGCCCCACAATGGTAGTATTTCTCGACCTTAAGGCGGCATTCGACTCTGTTGATCGTGAGGTTCTATGGCAGTGTTTGTCACTGAAAGGAGTACCAAAGAAGTACATTAACCTTATAAAGGCTCTCTACTCGAACACAACTGGTAGAGTGAGAGCTTATGGCGAACTGTCATCAGAATTGATTACCTCAAGTGGTGTTCGTCAGGGCTGTCCACTCTCCCCATTCTTGTTCAACTTTGTCGTGGACGTACTTCTAGAGATAACACTTTCCTCATCTAGATTTCCAGGGGTTGAACTTCTACCGGGAGGTTCACTTGTTGACTTAGAATATGCAGATGACATAGTTTTATTTGGTGAAGACGCTGACAAAATGCAGAGTCTTCTGACCACTCTAAGCAACAATGCAAGCATGTTCGGGATGAGATTCTCTCCCTCGAAATGCAAAATGTTGCTTCAGGATTGGGTTACATCGACACCCGAACTAGTGATAGGGAGTGAAGTAGTTGAGTGTGTCGACCGCTTCACTTATCTTGAAAGTCTGATCAGCCCTTGTGGTCTCATGTGTGACGAAATCTCAGCACGGATACAGAAGGCTCGACTAGCTTTTGCCAACTTGCGTCATTTATGGCGTAGGCAAGATATCCGTCTATCAACCAAAGGACGTGTTTACTGCGCAGCAGTTCGTTCCGTCCTACTTTATGGCAGTGAAACATGGCCGGTAAGAGTAGAGGATATCCGTAGGCTACTAGTATTTGATCATAGGTGTCTTCGAAACATTGCTCGTATATCATGGGACCATCGATTAAGTAACACAGTTGTTAGAAAACGGGTACTAGGTAAGGATGGCAAATCAATTGATGACGTAGTGAAACTTCATCAGTTGAGATGGCTGGGACACGTGTTACGTATGCCCAACGACCGACTGCCTCGACGTGCTATGTTCAGTGGTATAGGAGTAGGTTGGAAGAAAGGTAGGGGCGGCCAAACCAAAACATGGCACAAGTCCATGAAGTCACTGACAAGTGAACTGAGTCATGTTGGTAGGTGTAGACTACCTGGTTGGGGACCACAAGATGATAGCAACCGATGGTTAGAGACCCTGAATGACATGGCTCAAAATCGTTTGCAATGGCGCAGGTGCATCCACTCTTTGTGTTCTCCCAAATTCTAATCTTCTGAATTCTTCATGTCCCTTTCCTTTTTCCTCTTTCCAAATTTATTTCACTGGATTATACTCTATAAATAACATCTCCAAACCCTAATCTTCCCGATTACTGCTTATACTCTTGCTACCTCTACCACTATGGGATTTGAATCGACAACTGCATCTCTGTGCTAATGTGGTGTGGCAACTCGAACTGATGTACGTACGTACGAAGTTCTACGTTGTTACTGACTGACATATCCAACTACTGTCTACAACAACATGTGGTGTTGGCTGATGGTGTAGGAGTATACTGGAATAAATTCAGGGACATATGGCATCACTGCACGAATTCATTGATAGCTGAACTGGAGCATCTTGGCAGATACATACTACCTGGTTCCCATTCGTTAAATTATCGTAACCAACAATTTGATGGGTCAGGTGACATGGCTTAAAACTGGTTTCAATAGTGCAGATACACTCATTCTTCGTCTTCTTTTAGATCCAAGGTATCTTATACTTTTTTACTCCACAAATTTATTCTTTATCAAATCATGCAGCCCATGCCTGATCTTTTTGTACTATCACTAATACTGTTACTACTTAACAACTTTGACATGTCACTGTGGTGATATGACATAGCGAATTGAACTTATGCATATATGTCACATATTATGTTGCGTATGACTGAGTGACTGATTGGAATCGACTTAAGTTGAAAATTCAGATCACTAGATTCCTACTCAGTAACTTAAAGATAATGTGCTCGTTCCAAGACCTGTGTGTCCTAGACTCGAGCCAACATAGGTTTGTGAGTGTATAACACTAAACAGTCTCAAACTAGAATGGAAAAGGTATTCGGGGCTTCACGGTGTTTTAGTTGATATCAGTGTATGGTGAATGCTAATCGCAAATGTAAGACTGAGAAAAATCACCAAATATATCAATTTAAGAAAAAGCTTTTGCTTACGTCATAATCTTCATACTTCGATTCATTTGCATTATATCCAGAACTAAGGATATTTACTGACGTTGTTGTTTTGCGATGACGATCATCAAAATTACTTACATCTGGTCTAGCGAGTGATATCGGTTTGGATAAAACACTAGATAGTGTACTGCCAACTGGCTTATGTTTTAAAATATTATGACCATCATCGTTATTTTGCGGTGTAACATTTTCATTACTATATGATTTGTTGTTACTAGCCGGTTGGTTGGGTTTTTTATCTGGAACTTCTACTTCAGGTGCATAATTGGTATATTCATTCAAATCGTCGACATCAGATCTGGATCTCTAAAAACAAAACAATAAACAAAGAGAATGCTTAGAGGTGATACGGACCGAAATGAACTAAATACTTATTTACGTTTGAATTGCAGTTTCGCTGTACCTATTTTGTCTGGTGTATAGTTACCGGACAAATGGTGGTTCTTAAATAAAGATGACTAGTTAGTCAGTCATAATCAACATATATCCTGTAACGAATGTTTGTTAGCCAAAGTTACCATACCACGTAACCACGAAGAGATGTAACTAACAGGATGAGTAGTAAAACAGTATAAACAAAAATAGTATTGATGACATTTGGGAAGTGATAAAAGGCTTAAGAGTTAGGCTTGACAGTCAAGTTTTGATTAATTGGAGTGACCCATAAACTGATATTCTCTAATCGTTTACGACAGTTTATTATCATTTTGTTACATAAAAGCCCTAGTCTTCCGGCTATTGGACCTGTCTTTGATTACAAACTCAGACGCTTACATAAATAATCCGTTACTGTGAGTAATCATCACTCGGCAACATTGTAAAGTTGAATCTAATCAATCGATCAACATTCTTTTCTTCCATTTTAACAACAGAAACTTCATTCCTAAGATCACAAAACCATCCTTCACAACGGAAAAATTGAACGCTGCAGAAAAGTTTGATAATAAGGGATGGTAATATGCGCCTAATTAGTACCCTCTTAGTAAAATGTAGAAAAGCATGAATGATAAGTGAATTCTGATCTAATCATACTTTGATAATACATAAATAGTGAACCCTACACTTACTTTGGGAGGATGCAAGTCTACTGGTTCAGGCATTTGATTCAAAGCTTGCTTACGTCTTCCACGTTCTACCTGAAATTTGTTACAGACAAACGATTAAAATTACTGGAGTAGCATTTGGAGTCGTGACTTTTGGTTTGATTTCTGTATCCGCAGCCTCATTTTCAAAGGAAATATCTCCAAGACCAGCATCCTATGATAATGAGACATAAATAAATCTAGATACCTGAAAAGCCCGGGTTTTTAGCTTTTGTTTTATCTGGTTAATGGTCTTTGTTTCGATAGCTTCAGCTACCTTTGACAGATCAGATCCAAAACGTCCAATAGCAGCTTTAAGATCTTCAACTTCCTTTTGTGACCATTTCCCGCAGGTCTTGGAATCCCCATCATTTTGTTGCGCTTGGAACTGCTTAAGATCTAAAGTAAGTTGGGCCAATCGACCGAACGCCACTGATGCTTGCTCAAAAATCTCGGCCACTCTCGAAAAGTTAGCCATTATCCAAAAAGTAAGTGATGGGAGGTTTGGAAAGCAAAGACTTTTATTGAAATAGTAGGTATAAAGTATTTCAGAAATAAGAACTTTAGTATGTAGAATAGGCGAATGAATTTGAATTAGGTAGTGCTGAATTTTAGTTAGTCACCGTCCGTACTCCCCCATTGAAATTTATTGCAGGATGCTGAAAAAAAAAGAAATGAAAAACCAAAATACTTCGGTAACCTGTTTAATTAGTTCGAGGCTATAGGTTAGAATCGATGGAATAGACAGTATTCACTGTCCCACGAAAATAAACGATGCATAGTCCGAATAATATCAGGTAGCAAATTTAAATAAAGCCAGAACAAAAATTGATGCAGGATAATATGGACTCATTATATTTCGTGGTTTCGCGTCAGCTGCTTACAACCAAATATGTATTGGAATTTCACATTGAGATAAGAAATAATATGGAACAATTGACATAAATGAATGTAAATAATTGGAATGACAAAGGTTATCAAACTATATATATATAGTTGTTTGAGTGAGCAGTCTGTTTCCCATACTTTCGTCAGTTTTGTTGCGGAATTTAATATGTGATTAATTATTCCAGCAACTTTGTCTCCTTTGAAACGTAAGTATAAGAAGTAAGTTTTATGTGCGCGGTCAAGAAAAATTGTTCAAAGTAATGCCTGGATGATTAAATTGCTCTCGTCACCAATTGCCTATGTGAAAACGCATATCCGGTGAAATTCATCCATAAATATGCAAAGACCAATCCTCAGGCAAAGTATGATAGAGTAGAAAAGAAAACCTACTTGTCAGATCCGCCCGCCGTTTCGTTTCGACGACCTTGAACGGCCTGATAAGAGGAGGTCATTTCGTATTGCAATTGCTGTAGGTTTGTTGGATGTCCGTTTGGTCACATGAATATTAAGTGTTCTCATATTCAAGTAGTCTTTTACTGCAGTAAAATCACTGCGAAAAGCATTAATTTAGCTTTATCTGTTTTGTAGTGTATTCGTTGACTCTATTGTTGCTTCGTAACTTGATCTGTGACACCGATTACGTTACATAAAACGAAGATAATTATGATGGATAGAACTGTTTATGGCTGTATATTAGCAAACTATATAACACTCGGAAATATTTTAACGCTTAATTGCTTCAACCCACATTTTATAAACAACTACAAACATCCATGTTCATCAACACCATAATTAGGGAGGTGAAATGCAAAAGGTTTAAGAGCTAATTTTTTGACTAAATTTCTAGTTGCGGTCTATTTTTGACCTGATAATTAATGAATTTCACTTGCTTGATTTGTATTGTTACGAATAACCATGTCAAGCTGGCTAAACATTCATCCAGGTTGTAAGCATCAACTACATCAATCTATTGGTAAACCTGAACAAAAATCAGTCAGTCAGTTACAACGTAGGACCATGCGCATTTATGCATCGGTCCAAGTTGCCATACCTCATTAACACAACAAGATGGACACCGGATTCATAAAAGTAGTTAATTCAGGGGTGATAATTTATAAAAGAAAGATTGCATATAAGGATATAGTACAGGAAGAAAGAATTAGTTCGTAGAAAGAAAGATATGAAGCAATTTTAATCTCTTAGTTTAAGGGAAGACAGAGAGTGTATACACTGACGCCATTGTGATCGATTCTGAGCCATGTCATCAAGAGTCTCCAACCATTGGTTAAGATAGTCACGCGGACCCCAAACAAGTAATCTGCATCTATCAACATGGCTAAGACCAGAAGTTAGTGACTTCAAGCACTAATGACACGTTTTGGTTTGGCCGCTCCTAACTTTCTTCCAACCATCCCCAACATTAGTCAGCATTGGGCGTCGTGGTAATCGGTGTTCAGGCATACGTAACACGTGGCCCAACCATCTCAGTCGATAAAGATTCACACACTGATGAACTGGTTTAACATCATTACCTAATACCCTGCGTCTAACCTCACTATTATTTATCGGATGAACCCAGCAGATGCCAGCAATATTTCTGAGGCATCTGTGGTCAAATACTAGTGGCTTGCGAGTGCCATCTACTCTTAATGGCCCTGTTTCGCTGCCGTAAAGTAAAACAGAACGGACTGCCGCGCAGTATACTCGTCCTTTTATTGATAGACGGATATTTCGCCTTCGCTATAGGTGACGTAAGTTGGCAAAAGCCAATCGAGCTTTTCGGATCCGTGCTGAGATTTCGTCAGACACCAACCCTTTAGGGCTGATCAGACTTCCAAGATAGGTGAAGTTGTCAACGCGTTCGACTACTTCACTCCCTATCCAGACGCAGACCAGTCCTGAAGTAACAACTTGCATTTAGAGGGAGAGAAGCGCATTCCAAACATTCTGGCATTGTTGCTCAGTGCTACCAAAAGACTCTGCATTTTATCAGCGTCTTCACCAAACAGGACTATATCATCTGCGTATTCTAAGTCGATAAGTGGGCCTCCTAGAAGGAGATCAATACCCGAGAATTCAGTAGACGAGAATGTTATTTCCATCAATAGGTCTATAATAAAGTTAAACAAAAATGGAGAAAGTGGACAGCCTTGACGGACACCGGAAAAAAAGCTATGTAACAAACACAAACATTACAAAAATCGATGTGTGGCGGAAAAATTCTGTTAACAGCTGAAAAATAACGACGCCCAAGATGCACGAAAACATGTAATATGTGCTCTAGAACCCGTCGCTCGACTTCCTGACCGTCCCGTCAAAATGTATCCATCTACTTTCAAACGGGTGACGCAAATCCAACATACAATTCCCCTTTGATGAGCAGGCGTACACAAATCATTTTACGTGTACTTACTTCTTGGTGTTAAGTTATGGTTCAACATCTTTAACAGAGTCCATTGTGGAGTGTCTAACGACTTGATCCCATTAGTTCTGCAGAATCCGATAGTCTTTATGATTTGGGATACCTTGAGTTCTACCACACTTGGAGCTTATAACCTGCTAAAGAATCCGGCTTTTCCAGAGAAGCCAATTTCATCGCCATATGAATCTGTCAATGAATTGCTACCTAGTGACGTACAGTGTGTTAAATTTGAATGCAGAGATAGATCGAAGTTTCATGAAACGATGTGACATAATGATCAGAAGGTTGATGACTTTACACTTGAACTACAGAAACAGACCGCGAAGTGCGATTTCAGAGGCCGATTAGAAACTCAACCTCGTGGTCAGTTGGTTGCTGTAATAAATATTTCCGAAAGAGAATTAATTCCGAAATCCAAAAACTCATTTCAAGAAATAAAAGCAGCACTTTTTGATTGTGAGATGGTGCATGAATTTCCAGGATGTTAGGAATTCTACTTCATAACTTAGTCATTCTAATCCTATGCATACTCAAAGTCATATATATCGACGTTTAATTAACGATCATTGTTGTTGTTATGAAAACATGGATAACAATTCATTGGGAAGTTTCAAAGAAATTTTCAGAGACGAGCACAAGTTTCGCGAATGCTTATCCTGTGGTAAATTTCACTTACTTGATTCATGTGTCTGAGACCATGATGAATGCTTTGTTTGGTAAAATGAGGCACATCCAATCTGTTTGTAAAACTACAGTTGAGTTAGCCCCAAGTATTACTTAATATTTTACTTCGGATTCTTTTAATCTGGGTGGTTCTTATAATCATATACTATCCTTATTTACGACTTCAGTGGTCCAGTTCATATTCAAAGACAATTACATTTGTCCAGTGGTGCTTCTCACAATTGTATTATTGATACTGGTAGTATCAAATCCAGCATTTCAGTTGGAAAGTTGTCATTATATCCTGGTGCTACAATTAAACCCACCAAAGTTTCTATTTCCATTATTACTGGTTGCGTAAGTCATGCGTGAATCCTATATTTGACTGTTAATTTGTTTATGATTGTACATCAACTCGTACGTTAATATGTCTTACAATAATTTTGCGTCATGTCATCTTTATAACATTCGGATTTGACTATTCATACCATCGCTAAAATTTTCACCATACCCATTATATTCATCATTTCTGTATGTATCCGGGTTATGTATTTGGCTATGAAATTCGTCGTCTGGGCAAACGTTCAACATGGTTAGGACCATAGGTGATAATAAATTTACCACCTTGTAATATAACCGTACTGCACCAATGTAGTAACTTAACTGTTGAATAGTTGTTAGCCAGATCACTGTTCAAAATAGAAAGTCTGAAGTTCATTATTAAAGATTACACCAAATGAGTGAATATTTCCATCAAGGTTTGTAATGTAATCAAATAAATGAGCTTCACTAGTGTTTATCAACCCCTTTTGAATTTATGACATTTCGAAATTGTTGAATATGGACAGATTTTGAGGTATCAAAGTCATTAGGCATAGAAAAAAGCGCTACTGGTTTTCCATTAGCGAATGCTCAACAAACACTGCAACTAGTTACTCGTGTTGGCTTTTCAACATCGTCATAAATCATTTTCAGGAATTAATTGTCATGTAGTGTGGTCGATGTAATTGATAAAACTACTGGTTGAAAATCCATCATTTAATAACTGGTAATTATTATAACGTAGTGTCGTTTTTTCGCCAAGCAAATCTCCTGTAAACTGAAAGCATAAGTGACGAATTAATTCCAACACAGACTGAAGTTCATGACAATAGTCGAAGTATGATTACTGGAGGTAGAAATTTTTTTCCATGTGACTTAAATATTTTATCAACTAGTTAGTTTGTAGGGCGCACCATAATCGGATTATCAAACCATCCTGTACATCTTGTGCATTTTACTTCTGATATGCAAACCTTGTAGTCCATCCATCAATTAATATATATCTAGCGTGAACTCCCTCTACAAATATACTAAATAAGCCTTAAACCGTTTACATTAACACGTTTCTATCCTAATTCAAGTATAAATACTCAACTGACACTCACCATCTTGCTCGGCAACTGAACATCTAAACTCTTTCTGTAAGATCCCTTTAGAAAGTTTCGTGTATGAAAATCCCTCCAAGTACACACTGTTGTGGATTTATGCAATCATTCTTATAGCACACAATTGAAAATAAAGTTTAAAATGAGTTAAGACCAAATAATAATAATGATGAAAGCCAAAATTAAACAATAATAACTAGTGGGTCAAATAACTACAGTCTAGGGATCTTGATTATGCAGATTAGTCTACTAGGTCGTTTACACCCAACTTTGAGATTGATGTAAGTGTAATAGCTTCAAAAAACGGCCAATACAATGTAGAAATTACAGAAGAGTGATACATGCAGAGCGATTCACTAACTAACACTCCATATTTGATATAACGTTACGTTACTCTAGATCATCTCGTTGTGCTTCATTACCATTCACAGAGTACTTAATTACGCAGAAAAGTCAGATATTTCCTTATTATAACGCACTACTGTTATGTCTCCCAGAATGTATTCTCCCGTAAATAACTTAAAAACTGGCATCACTAACTGAAGCATCTGAAATCAACAACCACTTTGAAATGTGATCCCTAATCCACGAAGACTTGTACAAGTTACCATACGTTTCAACGCGTAATTTCATACTGTTAAACGTAGCAGTCGTCTGTACTCATTCTTTCTTATGCAATTTTATCGATGCTTTCATAATAACCATTCAAATTTTTCCTTACTGTTCTTTGCACAAGATTTAGAGGATGAATATAATCAGAATGTTATACAATCTTATCATTCCAAACTTACAGTAATTGACATAATTTGCAGCAGTGGCCAACATTTCAGAATATAATATCTAGCTTGTAAAAACCTACACAAATCAAACTAGACTCAGAAGTGTTAAACATAATAGTCACATTCACAGACCTTTGTAA